ACTTCAGGAAATGATACAAGGGAAGGAAAATGATAATAGAGGAAAGAATTCATTGACTCATTATGTGGAAATAGAGAAGCATTCTAAGTATTTCACACTTTGGATGAATGTTTATTTAATGGATAACCATTAGAAATGATAACTGAAGGAGGTATACAGCATGAAAAAGTACAAATGATATGTACATGGGGGCAAAAGACTTACATATGGCAAATATAGGAAATAGAGGGCGTTCACCTAATACCTGCAAGAAAAACTCTTTGTTCACTGTTTGTGTTTATAAACAATATGTGTTTATGGAAAATCTTAGAAGGGAACACATAAAGGTAGTTACCGGGGCATTTGGATAATAATTTACTTTTCTCCCCTCTCTTTTATAAACTTCAATTAAGTAACTTTCATAACTTAAAAATAGAGGGTTCTTTTTTAAAGAAATAAAAACAGAAAACAACAAACTAGTCATCAGAAGAGGTAACTCCTCAGTGTTTATTACTGATTTTTGCTGAGCTAATCTGCTACAAAAAGTTTATTGACCTCTAAGTTATGAACACTTACAGGTTTTAAAAATCTATCTATAAACACAGTGAATATATAACAGCTGACATACTTAGCATCAGACAAGGATTATTCTGTGCTTGACTTTCTCGTCGTGACAGAGGTTGATTAAGCCTGAGTTTTGTGTCACATATTGCAGCATAGAGCATGTCATGAAATTCTAACCGTAATTGGTAGCGTGAGAACAATGTACCAAGCACCTATCAGAAGCACAGGTGTTACTGTGGAATATCCTGATAGGACATGAGGAATGGATCATAAAAATATCCACTTGTATGTGTGCTATTAAAATAAACTCAGCTGTGTTCTTTGCGGGCTAGACAAAGTCAAACCCATGTATCCAAGTCTTTGCATACATTTCAGGATGAATACCGTGCCCAAAGCATCAAGGTGTCACCAATCTACAAATCCCTTCCTCTGAGGATCTGCTGAAGTTTGGAGCTAAGTGTCTTTAGCCTAGAAGAGATATATGAGGGGAACTGTCTTGTGGGAGAACACTGGACTTGTGTTGTTCTAGCAATAACTAAAGTAGACGTTGAAGGTAGGCAGATTTTCAGCTCAATACACAGAACCTTACAATAACTAGTCACCCTCCAGCTCAGCCATAGAGCTAATTTCCTCATGAGTTTCCATGTTACCAGCCACTGGGAGTGGTCAGCAAGAAATTAACCACCCCACTGCCAGGGTATCTTAAAAGGCAGGGAGCAATGAGATGATCCCATGACCTCTTGCCGCTCTAAAATTTTGTTATAATCATTTGCTTTGTCTTTCCAGCATCCATGTATGTACCCCTGTCTGCCTTCCTTCCTTCCGGAAAAAATCTTAGGAATATCATAATATTGTAAACTTTTATTTTTTCTGATTTATAGTTTTAATTGATGTGTAATTTATATACAACAAAATGCACAGGTATTTAGTGTTCAGTTCTATGTGTTTTGACAACTGTATACATTTGTGTGACTATTTAGAACATTTCTATCATCTGGAAAATTTCTCATGACCCTTTTAAGTCAATCCCTCTACCCCCAGAGGCAACTACCTCCTGATTTCTATCCAATAGATTAGGTTTAACTTTCGACTTTGTATACATAGAATCACTAAGTACATATTGATTTTCTTTTCTTATTTTAGCCAACAAAATGAGTTTGAGATTTATACAGTTGTTGTATTTATAAATAGTTCTTTGTTTTCATTGCTGAGTAGTATTCCATTGTACAGACAAATCCCAGTTTGCTTATTCATTCTTCACACTGATGGATATTGGGGTTGTTTCCAATTTTTTTTGTTTGTTTTATATAATATGACTGCTATGTATATTTTTGTGCAGGTCTTTTTAAATTTTTGTTTGGCAATATTTAGGAGTGCAATTTCTGGATCAGTGTCTGGTTAACTTGATTAAACTGACAAACACTCCTACGATTACCTTTGTGCCAAATCTCCCCCAATAATTAGCACTGAAGTTTCAATTTTAGCACCCTGATAGGTATGCAGTAGTACTTGCCGTGGTTTGAATGTGCAGCTCCCTAGTGACTAATGATGCTGAGCTCCTCTTCATGTGCGGATTGGCCATTTGCACATCTCCTTTTACAAACATCTGTTCAGATCTTCTGCCTATTTTAAAATTAGGTTTGTTTGGTGTCTTCACTGTTAATATGTAGGAGTTCTTTATGCATTCTAGATACAAATACTTAGATATATGGCCCGTAAGTATTTACCAGCCTGTAGTTTGTTTATTAATTTTCTTAAGGCATCCTTTTATGAGCAGAAAATTTTTTTTTCGGAAGTCGAGTTGACCAGTTTTTTGCTCTTTTGTGAAGAGCCTTTTTGTGTTCTGTCCAAGAATTTTTGCCCACCCTAGTTCATGAATGTTTTCTGTTTTTTCTTCTAGAAGATTTACAATTCTAGGTTTTACAGTTAGATCTATGAACCATCTCAAGTCAGTTTTTTTTTTTGTATAGTAGGAAGAAAAGGTCATGATTATTTTCATTTCCCCATACAGATATCCAGTTGTCACAACATCATTTGTTGAAAAAACCTTTCTTTTCCCAGTTGACTGATTTTGTGATTGACAACTTTGTTGAGAATTAATGGAATGCATCTGTAGGTGTGTGTGCGCGCATGTGCGCACACGCACACACACACACACAAGGTCTGTCTCTGGATTCTGTTTTGTTCCATTGATCAATTTGTCTACACATATTCCAATACCACGGTATCTTGATTATTATATATTTATAACAAATCTTGAATTTTTTCTTTGTTAAGATTATTTTGGAAATTCTAAATCACTTGCATTCCATGCACATCTTAAATTGGCTTGCCAATTTCATTTTTAAAGCCTGCTAGAATTTTGATCGGAATTGCACTAAATCTATAAATCAATTGAGGAGAATATACAGATAACTTTAAAATATTGAGTCTTTCAATCCATGAACATGGTATAGCTCTCCCAACTATTTAGGTGTTTGATTTCTCCCACAATGTTTTAGTTTTTAGCATAGAGGTCTTGCACACTTTTTGTTAGATTTATTTCTAGTATTTGATGTAGTTTTGGGTGCTATTTTAAATGATACTGCTTTTCACTTTCATTTTTCAATTGCTTGTCACTATTATATAGAAATATATTACTCTTTACAATTGATTTTGTATCTGTGGACTTGTTATATCAACTTATTATAGTAGTTTTATGATAGATTTCATAGATTACCCTATGTACACAGTCATGTTAGGTATACATATTTACATCTTCCTTTTAAATCTTTTTGCCTTTTTTTTCTCATTAAACAGTGTAGGACCTCTGATAAAATATTCACCAAAGGTTGTCAGAGCAGATGTCTTTGCCTGTTCCTGACCTTAGAGAAAGTGTTCAGTGTTCACCATGAAGGGTGATGTTACCTCTAAGTTTTTCATAGCTGTCCTTCATCAGGTTGAAGCAGCTCCCTTTCATTCCTGTTTTGTTGAGATTTTGTGTTATGAATGAAAACCGAATTTTGTCTAATTCTTTTTATACATTTATTGATATGATCATATGATTATCTCCTTTAGTCCCATCATTGATTTTTACCCCTTTCTTCTTTTCTAATATATGTGTTTAAAGCAATAAAGTTCCCTCCCAGCACTGTTTCAGTTGCATTTCACAAACTTTATTTTGGATTGTCATTATCATTCAGTTCAGAACATTTTCTATGTTCTTTTGTGATTTGATTCTTATCGCATGGATTATTTACAGGCAGTTTCCTTATTATTCAGGCCACAGGGATTTTCCCATTTTTGTCACGTGTGTTCTTTCATGATGATGAAAATGTCCTTTTTATATCTGATCATACTCCTTGGCTTGAAGTCTGTCTGGTCTAATATTAATAAAACCATGCCAGCTTTCTCACGCAAACACTTTCTATGCTTCATATGTAAAGTGAGTTTCTTGTGAAAGCACATAATTGTGTTGTCTTTTTAAAAAGCCTTGCCTGCCTGACAGTCTTTGTTTTTTCATTGAGCAGTTTGTCCATTTATATTTAACTGACCACTAATACAGTTGGGTTTAAGTCTGCCATCTAGGTATTTATATTCTTTTTGTCTTGTCTACTCACCTAGAATAATCCAGATATATCCTTCTTGGTTTATAGATAAAAAGATAGATCGAAATATTTTTACATAATTAGGATCATACTATATATATATGCTATCTTAAATGTGAAGTGCTTAATTTCACTCTTAAAAGATTAGTGTTAAAAATAAAAAGACAAACCACATAAAGGATTCTTTATGAGAGAGTAATTACCAAAAAATCCATCTAACATTTCATAAAATACTGAAGCTTTGGTGATTTTATAAAGCTATAAGTTACGATATATCTTACTTTTTAACAGCTTAATAGGGCTCTGCTGTGAGTGATGAAGAATAGCACCTTCAGTTTCTTTTGCCCTCCCCCAGCGCATCCTGGTTTCCGGTGGTAATCGCATCTCCTTTCTGTAACCTAACCCACGCATCTGTTTCTTCTCTGCTCAGTATTCAGATGGATGCCATTCTCACCATCCTCTGTGCCAGGGTCTCTGGCTTCTCCATTCTCAGTGACTAGATTTCACCATCAAGCAGTTCTCTAAGAAGGACCCCAGTTGTCCCTGAAGTCTCCTGCCCTGTCTGTCACCTTGAGCACGTGAATGACAACTAGGCTGCATACACTCTGGGGTCATGCTGCCTTCCCCCTGAACTTGTGACGTGTCTCCTCTGTCTATTGTGTTAAACCAGGTTGTTCTTCACCACTCCAGTGCCCCCTCTTTTTAAAAAATCAAAATGGCAGTTTTCAAAGAACACACATGAGTTTGTGCCTCTTCACTGGCTGCACGGGGAGAATTGCTCCTGGGAAGGCCCACGCAGCTCTGCTCAGAGCGTTGAGGTGATCAGGGTACTTTGGAGTATTAACCGTGCATCTTTGTTGTCCTTTGTAGAGATCATCGATGACCTCGCCAACCTGGTGGAGAACACCGACGAGAGGCTCCGCACTGAAACGCGGCGAGTGACCCTGGTGGACAGAAAGTCGGCGTCCTGTGGTGAGCGACGGGGTGGTTCGGGCGCCTCTGCTTTGGCTTTCCCGCGTTCGCGTTCGTCTGATTACCGCAGGTTTGGCTGCGCTTCTAAAACGGCAGCCCCATCGGAGGAGGCACAAACTGCTAACAGAGAACCCAGGCCTTGCTCAACTGAAATGGGTTGTTATGAGTTCAGGGGAAGTAAAAGGCATTGATGTTTTAAAATTTAAAAGAAGGAACCTTTCTGTGTGCTTGTAGAGAATAAGCGTTTGGGGAGCTGTGTGACAGCGTGCGGGTTGGGGGTGGTGGAGCTTTGGGTTTTCAGGGCAATCCCTTTCACTGCTGTGCCTTGTGTAATCGAATCAAAGCTTAATTGTTGAGGGTCGAACTCCTGAGCAGACACGAGCCCAGGTTCTGAAGCTCAAGTGTGTTCAAATCCTGTATTTGGTGGTGTCATCTTTGGCAATCATTTTACTTCTTAATACCTTGTAAGTAAAATGGGGGTTCACATGCCAAGATGAGGGTCACTCAGAGTGATTTTAAGGCTGACTGAGTGGGCGCAGGTCGGGGTTCAAGGGCGTCCGCTATGTAACAGGAATGACAAGCAGTTCTGATGCAGGTACTTGCTGTTCTGCGAGGTTCTGATGCAGATTTCATGTGGTTGACGTTACCCGCGGCCTGCGTCCTGTGCCTTGTCAGACAGGTCGGTGCTCATACGCGGTGGGGACAGCGGGGCAATCACAGTGATGGTCGCCGGTGCTGCATCCCGCAAAGGTGCGCCAAGTGTATCAAGCTGATGCTTTTATTGTAAATGGAAATACAGCATGACAAGCAACTATTGATTCGGGGGCACGCTTAGCCTAACTTGTAGCCCTTTCAACACGAAAAATATAATGGATCCCTCTGATCTACCTCGTTTTAGAACAGAGACCTGTGTGCAAGGGTCACCTGAGACCTCACCTTGAGAAGCCTGGCCGTCCGCCCCGTGTTACTTACTGGTTAAGCGGAAGTCTAGCCCAGGCTGAGGCAGGACCAGGCAGCTAGCGACCCAGAACCTCAGGAGAAGGGAAACTGAGGGGCCGACCTGCTTCCCTCTTCTCACCTGTCCTGCCCCCCACCCCACCCCCCAGTTCTCATCCATCAGACGCCAACCCACCCTGTGCTTCTGTTCCTGAGGCATGAGCTTCCTTCTTCCTGCCAGAAGTCCGGCTGCCTCCACGGTGCCTTCCCAGCCTTTTCACATAACTTCTCCGCACATGACCCTGAAACCTGGGAGGCAGAGAGATGTGGGTCCACTCCCACCTGCCTCTCTGATCCTATTTGGTTTCTGTATAAACTTAATCCTGTGAGCCTTGGTTTCCTCAGCAGTGAGAAGGGGATGATCTGATTATCAGAATTAAACTCTATAGAATCTGGAACGTGGGTGATGCTGCCCATCTTCCCTGAATTTCCCTGTTTGTGTAGAGAGGCCCGAGGGCACAGTGGGTAGCAGGCTCCGGAGCCAGAATGTGCGCCCAGCTTTGCCACTCTCCAGCTGTGTGGCCTGGGGAAGCCCATGCTCACCTTTGCCTCAGGCTTCTCATCTTTGCAATGGGGATGAGAGGGGTGTTGTAAGGAATAAATGAATTACTATAGATAAAGATACAAGTTATAGCTGATGTTGAGATAGGGGATACAGATACAGATATCTAGATATATAGAGGCCCGATGCACGAAAATCGTGTAAGAATAGGCCTTCCTTCCCCCAGCTGCCGGCACCAGCTTCCCTCTGGCACCCGGAACCAGGGCTTTTCTCGCAGTCCCGGCTTCGTCCGGCCTAATATTACGCTTTTATTATTATAGATAGCGCTTAGAGTGCTGGGGTCCAGCCCCAGCAGGTCCAGGGGTCCCCAAAGGTGTGGACGGGTTCGGCGAAGAAGGAATGACTCAGAGGCAGCGTTCAGTTGATCAGCATAGTTGGGTTCTCTAGCCAGGCTCTCCAGCCAAGTTCTGTGTCCATGTTCTCTTGCTAGGTTCTCCAGCCAGGATCTGTAGCCATGTTCTCTCGCTAGGTTCTCAGCCAGGTTCGGTTGCCAGGTTCTGTAGCCGGGTTCTTCAGCCAGGTTCTGTCTAGGTTCTCCAACCAAGTTCTGTAGCCAGGTTCTGTCCAGGATCTTTTGCCATGTTCTCTCCAGCGAAGTTCTTCTGTCTCTAGGTTCTGTGTAGGTTCTGTCTTCTAAGTTCTGTGTCCTAAATTCTGTGTCCTGTTGTCTTGTTGCATCTGTATTTATACCAGTTGATTCTAATCCTATCAATCTCTATTCCAAAGGTTAGGGCGTTTCTTATCTCCATTCCAGGGAGTAAAGATTATGTACTTAAGCATGATTGTTCGTAGTTAAAGTGATTAATTACCCGCCTGGCAGTTAAGAGGTTTTATTCCCTCCCTAACTTCAGGGGAAAATCTCTACCTGGGGAAACAACCTTTCTCGGAGAGGTGACCTTGGTTAAAACACATAGTGCCAAGAAGGTGAGCAAATATATTAAGACCAGTATGCCATATATGCCAGGTCCCTTGAAACAGCAAGGATGGACCGGCTCCCGGCATTAGAGCAGTGTTTGGCACATAGTAAGCAACGAGCAAGCATGAGGCATTGTCATGTATGTGTGAAGGCGGAAGACTCTTCCCAGTTGAGGGATAACTTTCCCGAGGTCTTTTTTATATGATGAGCAATCATGTTGCTATTATTTTGGAGTGAACATATTCATAGACAAATCGATGAGTTTTGTATTTGCAATGTAATGGCCTCAGTATGTGCCATTCATAGAGTCACAGAGTCTACTGTTGCCACTTCTTTAATTATGTTATTACCTAGTGTTAGTTTTTATCCCCAGAAATTTCCATAAAACCTTCTGAGGTGAACTCTGTTACATCTTTTTAAATAGAAGAGATTTAGAGATTACTAGAATTACTGAAATGCATGTTTATGTTTTTAAAACTTGGTATCTTAAAATATGTTAACTGTAAATTTACCTCATGCCTCATTTATATTTAGTAATTTGTTATATAGTGGTTATATAGTAGGTATATATTACATTTAACATATTATCTATAACAGAATTACATGTTGTGACTCAGAAGGGAGATGCAACAGGACAACAGTGTCAGGTACTGAAAGAAGAAATTTCTTTATTCTTCCAATGGAAATACTTTAGAGAGATTTGTTTCTCTTATCCCTTCATTTTTTTCCCTAATATTTACTTAGCAGCTCCATAAATGTTGTAGCTCAACACCGAATAACTACCCCTATACCATTTCTGATGCCTCATACCTCTCAAGGAAAACGTACTGCACTTATATTTTTAAGGGAAACGTGTAATTATGTATGTGCTTGTTGACAAGCAGTACGAGTTTTCCCACAATCCTGCAGGCTCAGCCTGTGGCCTCAAGAGCTTTAGGGGGTCAGACTTGTATTATGACACCCAGCAATTAACTTCTGAGACTTCCATTGGTCAGTATTAAGCCTTTGAACACAAGGCATGTTGTGGGATTTGTTGAGTAGGGCTAGCAGCCCTTGGCAAAATTAGCCAGACCCTTTATTTAAAAACTTTGTTTTATTGTGGTAAAATACACATACCATAAAATTTACCATTGCAACTATTTCAGTGCTAAGCACATTGACGTGGTTCTGCCAGCATCACCAGCATCGTCTCCAGAACTTTTCACCATCCCAAACTGGAGCTCTATCGCCATTAAACACTAACTCCCCATTCCCCTCCCATGGCCCCTGTCAATTACCATCCTACTCTCTGTCTATTCTAAGACCCTCTGTAAGTGAAATCACACAGTATTCATCCTTTGAATCTGGCTTGTTTCATTGACCATAATGTCTTCAATATTGCTCTACTTTGTAGCATGTGTCAGAATCTCCTCCCCCCCCCCCTTTTTTTAAAGCTGGATAATGTTCCATTGAGTGTATATACTACATTTTGTCTATTTCTTTGTTAGTGGACTCTGACTATTATGAATAATGCCACTGTGACCATGAGTGCACTAGTGTTGGGTCAAGCTTGTATTCTGTGCATATACCCACAGTGGAGTTGCTGCATCAAATCGTGTTTCCTTTTTCTGAGGAACCACCACAACCTGACCTGTTGTTTTGCTTCCAGCCTCTAAACTCTTAGGTACTGTCTAGGGCAGTGATGGTGAACCTTTTGAGCGTGTCAGCATTTTGAAAAACCCTAACTTAACTCTGGTGCCGTGTCACATATAGAAATTTTTTGATATTTGCAACCATAGTAAAACAAAGACATATTTTTGATATTTATTTTATATATTTAAATGCCATTTAACAAAGAAAAATAAACCAAAAAAATGAGTTCACGTGTCACCTCTGACACACATGTCATAGGTTCGCCATTACTGGTCTAGGGTCTTATTTTCTTATCTGATAGAGCCCTTTTGCAGGCAGGAGTCAGGGACTTCCATAGCCTGAGAGGGGCAGGCAAGCAGAGTAAAAGTGTCATAGCTGGCTCACTCCAACCTGGAAATGTAACAGGAGATGATGATGATGATTGGGCCCCTAAGAGCTACACCCTAGGATAGAAGTGAACCAGAAGGAAACTTGCCTTTGAGAACTGTAGAGAAGGCAGCCTTGGCACTGAACACAATAGAAGAAAAACAAAAGAAAAACCTACGTTTCCTGACAGGTATGGCACAAAAAGGCCCTCCTCTGGTGTGCACCCTGGGTATCCATACTCAGCAAGGCCAGGAAACCTCAGACCCTGAATTTGGTTTGAGACAGATTCACCTTAATAGCTCCAGGTACTTGGCAAAAACAATGAAAGGCCTCTTTGGAGAAAGACATATTTGTACTTGGTTGCTAGGATTCAACCAAAAAAAAAAATTTGCAGGGCAATGACCAGCACATAGTCAAAGATACCTAGGATACATGGAACAGAATAACACGGGCCAGGACCAGCAACAGACCACAGAAACCAGTCTGCACAGCCTTGCAGTGCTCGATGATCAGACACGATTATAACAT